TTACTCTTTTTTTTTCCCTTTGACAGCCTGCCTTCTGCATTTAAGAAGAGGTTCTATAGAATATTTAACAGCAGAACAAGGCAGCCGCTTCAAACATGTGCTACTATATGCTCCTTTCTTATCTCATCAAAGGCTTTTCATTCCTCTCCTCTGGAAGCTACTGAGACCTCAGAAGATTTGGGATTTGAGGAGTTTGCCTGAAAAACAAACACAAACCAAACAACCCCCCTGTGACTTACTGTTTTATTTTAACAAAGAGGGCTTTTTCCTCTATTCTTTTTTTGCCCTTTCTTCCTTTAGGTGCTCTGCGAGATTCATTTCCCTGACCAGCCCCCCTCCCTCTGTGGGGGGGAGGGAGGCAGGAGCTTAAACGTCACCACAACTTGCCAAGCCTCCTGAGCCAGATTCACGATGAAAAGGAAATAAAGAGCCTACGTTATTTCAAATTCTTCCTTTAATCTTATTTTCTGTACAGCTATCTCCCTATCCAATTACTTGTCTTACAAGTGACATCACAATATTAAATTTCTGAGAGCTAAAGCGCTTTGAAAAAAATTAATATAACCTACATTGAAGCAGACATGGTTTAGACAAGATTTTATTTACTCTCACTGGTGCCTGGCAGTATCAAAGTCACTGATGTGGTATCAGTGACTTCATGCTTAAATGAAGGCTCTTCAAATATGCACACAATTTAGCTGTTGTAAGGCAGCATTGTAAAAGAAAAGAATCCTAACTTGCTGTTAAACTTGCATGCATTGAAGTTGAAAGGCTGAATGAAGCACATTGCTGCTGAACATTCTGGGGAATGATTCTGATGTAACAACAAACCATGGTTAGACATTACATGCCTAAGTCTTAAGCTTGCACACTCTCCACTTTGTCTGCCCTCTAGCAATCCCCTCCCTCCCTTTCTGTTTTGAATCTAGCCACAATTTGTCATTTAATCTAGCTGGCAAACTGGGTTGCACCGGCCCTGTAAACCAAGGTTTGATCATGGTTTGTGAATGATATTTTGCCAGCTCAGATGATATGGTGAATTGTGGTCTCCCTTAAACTAGGAAAGGAAAAAAGAGGGCAACTGATACACATGAAGGAGATTGCCAGGCTGATCTGCCTAGCACCAAAATATGGTTTGGCATTATACCTGTACCATCACATTGTGGGGAAAGTGTGTGCTTTTTATAGATGATGGATGACCACCTTCCTTCCAGGCAGCCTCAAGCACTGCCTCCTTTTATTTCAGAAATTAAGCACTGCCTTTGTGCAGCTGGGAAAACGGAGATGAAAGCAGTGCTGGCAAAGTCTGCAAGGATGAAGACTGCTTTCTTGCTGCCCTGAAATGTCAAGAAATTGCCTTCCCCGGAGCAGCTGAAGTCAGAATGCTGTATTGCATTATGACTTTTCTGTAATGGAGTGGCTGCTGGCAACTAACCCCTGACGAATGCCTCGCCCTGTCAGTTCCTTGGAGTCAGAAGCCATTCTATACTGTTGCCATTCACGCTGAACCTTTAAAGGTCATCCTTCCATGGAGGAAGCTGGCTGGTTTCATCCTCATTCAAAAAGCTGCTCTGCCTTGTCATGTGATTGCTCTGAAGAGTTGCAGGGGTCTGCTTATTCTTGTTCACAGTTGCTGGAGAAAAGCACTGTTTTATTATGGGTTGGCCTTGTGCATTTCACACTACAGTGGCTCCTCTACAAGGCTGCCTGTTATTTTAATTCCCAGGAGCTAGTAAGACAGAACTGTAACCAGTACTGACTTTAAAAAAAGTCTGCCGCTAAGGCGACCTCTCCAACAGTGTGAACTAGTGGGAGAAAGCTTATTGAACTGTAAAAACTTGTAAAAACAAAACAACAAACCCCAGTAATAAAAAGTCCAAATCCAGAGATATCAGTAGTTCAATTAGTGAGCCAACATGCACTGCATTATAATTCCCATAGGCAGATGGATGTGGCTGTCAGAGTGGATGAGGGCGTTGGCTGAGGGTGGGAGTGATAGGTATAAGGAGGGGCGGAGCAATGAGTCCTGTTGTGATGTCACCTGGCAGACAAAATGGCTGGCAAAGGTGTAGGGTGGATTGCCAAGGAGAGGGACTGGACTGGGCCAAAAGGGCTGGATGGCCTGGGCTACTGGCCTACGCAGCACCCCAATTCGCTCAGGTGTGCCTGAGTGTGTTGGGGAAGGAATCTTCCCCTTTCCTCATATGCATACATGGGTAGTCAATCTATGGCCCAGGGGCTGGATCTGGCCCAATCGCCTTCTCAATCCGGCCCACGGACGGTCCAGGAATCAGCGTGTTTTTACATGAGTAGAATGTGTCCTTTTATTTAAAATGCATCTCTGGGTTATTTGTGAGGCCTGCCTGGAGTTTTTATATGAGTAAAATGTGATTTTATTTAAAATGCATCTCTAGGTTATTTGTGGGGCATAGGAATTTGTTCATCCCCCCCCCAAAAAAAATAGTCCGGCCCCCACAAGGTCTGAGGGACAGTGGACCTGCTGAAAAAGTTTGCTGACCCCTGGTTAAAACAAGGAGCCCCTGTCATGTGATACTCTGTCATGTGATACTCTGTCATGTGCTCTGGGACCCGTTGGGTCTGGAGGTGTCCAACTGCTGTGGCTAGTTAGGGAACAACTCTGCGGAGCTTGCAGCGTAGGTCTGAATCCTAGGAGCCTCCTCTGTTTTGTCCCTGACAATACATCTTCCCCGGTTATGCTAAAGGTAAGTGGGCACATGTTGGCTGCTTCCCTTGGTGACGTTTGAACTCCTTTTGCCCATTTCCCAATTCTGTGCTCTGTGGAGTGGGCACACTCTAGTATTGTGTCTGTAGTGATCCTGGGAGTGTGCCCTAATCATTATACGTTCATGGTTTTGCTGCTGTGGCTACATGAAATGTGGGTATAATTGCCTGCACATTCCCTGACTGGCAAGCTTTGTCAGTGTTCCTAGGGAAGCTGCTGGTGTGCGTGCCATTTTTCTGCCATTTTGTTATCCTATTTTAAAATATCCCCACCCGAGGCTGAGCATCGTTTCCACTGGTATCTCCAGCAGCATCTCTCCAGACTGGTATTAAGTAAATATAAGTATGCCTTAGCCCGTTAACTCATTTGGAGTATGTGCAGTGCTAAGCAGAGTGACATTTGGTGTTGCTAATAGCTTTCTTCATTACAGGGACATTAAGAGAAAAAGGGATACACTAACCAAACACAAAGTCAATTAAGAATCTAAATTGATATTTGCTTTTATATAAAGCCAGACAGCCATCCAGCCAAGCTAAGGGAATCTCCCATTATATTTCAAAAGGTCACTTGCATTTTAGTCAAGTCCTCTAGCACTTCACTCCTACCCTCTTCGAAACATTTACACAATAATCTTGTTTCTCCACCCCACTGGGCTTGCTTTAAAATTACTGAGCGCCAGGGCCCATTGTCTAATTTGCCTCTCCCTGCTAATGAAAAATAAGTTAATATGCAGCTTCTTGAGAAGGATGAAACGAAGAAACACTGACACATTACTTAGAAGTAATAGGACGTAATTACAGCTAGTTGCATCCTGTGCAGAGGGAAACAATTCATTTCTGACTTAATAAAATGAGAAGTCGAAGATTTATACGTCATCCATTTATTTATTTATATACCCATAATCAGGCTACATTATGCTCCATGCTTAATCGGCTGCAGCAACCTAAGGGATGCTAGGCCAGCAAAACAGTATTAATACAATAAATTGCATCTTATAAAGTGTCATTCATAAAAAAAGCAGCAGCAGGCAAACAGCAGTGCTGACATCAGAAACTGTGCACAGCTGAGCCAAGAGAGGGGAAGCGAAAAGGAATAAGTAAGACAAACATCAGAAAGAACCAATAACTGCTCCAGCATAATGGTGTTCTTTTATTCCAAAGAAAAGCCCCATTTCATTTCAGCAAAGAAAGAGATATTCCATCTTGAAAACGCCAAACATAAATGATAGATGAACTCATGTTAAGTACTACTGTGGGAAACACAGGGAATATAAGTCCACATATTCGTAGACCTACCCAACCCTCTACTCTGAACTGCTGGGTTTTTCCATCACTGGTAAAGCAATTGTGCTCAGTAAGCAAAGTTCAGCGACCTCTCAGAGGAAAAACAGGCACCTTTGAGGAAAGGAAGTCTCAAGGGCCTGAGGGACATGAGACAACAGGGAAGGAACTTCATTCTACAAAATAAAAGGCATAGCAGCAATAGGTAACATTGCATGATAACAAATGGCCTTCTAAGGGACATTTGACACATTACACCACAGCAAACTTGGATTTTCACTGACAAGAGGACACAGCTAATCTTGGCTCCTTGGCAAATATACCCATGCAACATTTAAATTTGCAAACACTCAAGGCCAAACGAGACATGAAGTGGCAGCCATTTTTGCTATTCAAGTGTCTCTCCTGTATTATATCATTATCATCATTTATTAAATATCTGTACCAGGTGGTTTACAATATACATGCATGCATGTATAAAGGGGGTGGGAACAAAAAGGAATAATTCAACTAGACCAGAGATCCATCTACTATTCATTCCATGGTTGTAGAACAAAATTAATGATAACAGCAAGGATGTACTGCATGGGGTTTTTTTTTGGGGGGGGGGTTGCTATTTCTTTTTCATGGTTGTAATTTTTAAAAATAAAAATAATGATTAACCACTCCTTTCCTCACGTTATCTCACTGCACTCTATTGCCAAAACTCTGTTTCTCCTTCAGCCCAGCTCCAAAGCCAGAAGTTAGCCAGGGTGGTTGAGAGTGTTAAACAGATCCTCTATCCATTCCATTTCATACTTAAATGGGGCAGACAAATGCAGCCCCTGCTGTCACATCTAGTCCGGCTCTCTGTTGTGTCATATGTACAGGGGTCGGAAACTGGTGAAGCTTTTATTATTTGCTATTATTTAGGGATGTGGATATGATACTATCATATATGAATAGATTGAACTGTCAAGAAAAAGACTACCTGGATATGTACTTGCACATTGAATCTATGCATGTTTATTGTAAGATGCGCTGATTTCCTTGGGTGACATCAAACAATCCCAGTCTGTTCATGCAATGGACTTCCACTTATGGAAATGGGGCTGGAGTAGGAGGAGAGGAAGGGATGTTGCAGTGCGTTCTCTGGTACGATGCTGGACACTGCCCTTGAGGATTTACTTCAGAAGCAAGAATGCACAGGATTACAGCCTTAAGATGAGACAAGCAATATACCACTACTATGAATTAGCTCAATCTGGTACCATAAAAAGAGAAGTGTCAGGGGGATGACATATTGCTTGAAATTACTTGACCAAGAGCTGTGAGAGAAACACCCCATCATACTATACCTTTGGGAAATGATGGCAGCAAACTACATTCCCAGGAGAAGTGCGTTCCAGCACTTCTCCTGGGAATGAAATCAAAGATCCCCAAGAGATGTTTGAACATGGAAATGAGTTACAAAGCGTTACTCTGGTTTGTTTTCAGAGGTACAGTTAAATACACTTACTAAAGCCTCCACTTATGATGGCTAGTCTTTTCCATCACAGATGGAGCAATTATACTCGGTAAGTAAAGTTCAAAGACCTCTCCAAGGAGAAACATGCTTCTTTGGGGAAGGAAAGTCCCAAGGGACTGAGAGTGAATCATTTAGTCAAATGAGGCACAATAATTCCCAGGTGATCACCTGTGCAGCTGTGACTCATTTGGCTGCACCTGCTGATGCCAAATGGATTTTCTCCTTTCAAAAAGGCTATTTCTACCGTTTCCTCTAGATGACAGGGCTGATCCTTCAGAAAGTTTATGGAGGTAAATATTGAAGTTCTCAGGATAGGAAGATCTTTTTACCTTCGGCCACTCCTTTTTCAGAGTTCCACAACATGCAGATTATTATTATTTCTTTAGAAAAGGATAATAGTTAATAAATTATATTTCTTTGGTATCTGTTCTCCTGGATGTTGCCACCTTTTTACTGGCCCTGCTCCTGTGCTTTATCAGTAGTCTCACAAAAATACACATTTAGCAACTGAAACTTTTCCTGACAGTTTCCTCTTTACTACGGTAGGTAATGTCTGTGTTTTCAGTGTGCTTTGAAATGGTCCAGGGTCTATACAAAAGCTGGCAATTTCTGCCATCGTAACAACTGTCATGCCTCTGTGAAGTACCATTTCTCCATAGTGCCAGGAGTTTAAGGCCATTTATGTTTCTCAGATATTATGGTTCTCTTTCCTTTTCAGCTAGGCTGTCTTTTCATACCTTTGTTCCATGCTATTGTTGCAAAAAGCAGAAGCAAAGGACAGAAAATTTAAAATGTATGCATTTCTGCAGGTTAAGCTGTTCACAAAAGATGACCGTAGAAGCCCTGGTACTGTGCAGTGAATCAGAATGCACATAATATGTGTTCCTGGAATTCCTCAGGATTTGTCCTGAGCAAACAGAACAAGCTGTATAGCGGTGATCTGGACAACTCTCAGGCTTCCAAGACTGACTGGGAGCAATGAGTGGAGAAACTCTGCACCCCCTCCATTTATTCAACTTTTGAGCACTTTATTCCTATCTCCCTTCATTACTATGATATACCATGATTTATTTACATGATTTATCCCATGATGATATATTTACACACATGGATGATCCGATCACTATTGCTCATGTTGCAGCATTTGTTGAACGGCACCTGATGTACATTTTCCCTGCAAAAACACCCACCAACTCAATATTAATGCAATGCTTGTGATGCAGGTTAGTATTGCTAGATTTGCAGGAGAAGATTAACTCTTTGTACTAACTATGGGGAAGACTGTAGCTAAGTGATAGGGCATCTGCATTGCATTCAGAAGGTACTGGGTTCAATCTCTAGTATCTCCAGAGCTGCTGTAGACAGTAACCATTTATTCATCTAGCTCATTATTGACTCAAAATAAGGCTGCTTCCTATGTACTATTTGTTTCAGCTGTTGAGCCGGCAGCCTGTGAGAAGGGACTCCCAGTTTGCTACACCAGGCGTTTGCTTTGGCTGCATGCCTCTAAATCCAGCCCTGGCCATCTAGTATGTTCTAACACAAGTGATCCAGCTTTTGGAATTTAAATCCTGCCTGGGGACTGGAGAGGACTTTTGCAATGTACAAAATATGTTGCAATCTATCCTAATATTACATCCAAAGAACATCATACCACAGCACAGCCCGAAACAAACAGTCCCTATGCGTTTTTAGCTCACATGAGTGCTGGAGCAGAATGCTCTTCCTTTCCAGCAAGGTCCTGAGATGACATTAATGTTGAGCAGGGAAGGGCAGAATGACCTGTGCATTGCAAACAGCCTCATTAGAAAGAGGTGTGAAAGCTCAGGCACAACATAGACATCAAACTATAATGTTTTTACTGGTGCGAACCAGAAAAGCATATCAAACCAGCAAGGCAGAGCCTGGTGCCCCAGTATACATTTCTGCCTGGGCTCATTCCTAATTGGATATTACTGCTCTAGCTTAAATGGGTAGGCATTAACTTTAACTTGCGAACCAAGGTGCAATTAGTTGGGCATAAAGGCACACTGAAGGGATACTAATTACCTTCTAAAAGATGAATAGAATTGAGTCAGGGAAGCAGAAAATTACCTTTGTGGGAAATCTGCTTAATAGTTTAAACTGGAGCTGCTGCCGCTGAGCTCTCACTTCCTTCCTATAAGCTACAATCCTGCTCGGATGCAGCAGGCAGGACCTGAGCTTGAGCCACAGCTAGAACACAATTTCCATCTTGCAGGTGTCTCAGGCTGCAGCTGTCTGCATCATGGCAGTGCTTATTACCAGCACATACTGGCTGTGAAAAGTGACTAGTGGAGCTAGAGAGATCCCTTAAGTGTGCTGCCTGCTTTTGTCAGAGTCCAGATTTCCCAGCCTACCAGAATGTGGGCTGAAACCGATGAGGGAAGGGATTGCACCAGAGGGGCACATACACATTAAAAGATAACCTTGAAACTACACATCCGTGATTGTTAATAATGGCAACTGTATGGGGCTCCAACCCCCTAGACGCAATAAAAAAACAATGGGAGGATGACATAGGCTATGAGATTAACCCCAGAATGTGGTCTAAACCCCCCTTTAAATCCATATCAATGAAAATAAAAGAACTCACTCTGAAACTCACCTACAGGTGGTACCTAAACCCCCCTTTAAATCCATATCAATGAAAATAAAAGAACTCACTCTGAAACTCACCTACAGGTGGTACCTAACACCGAGAAAACTAGCGCTAATATGCCCAGGAACCTCATCAAAATGCTAGAGAGGGTGCACCTCCACAGGCACATACCTCCACATGTGGTGGGAGTATCCCAAAATTCAACTATTCTGGACAACAGCCATACGAGAAATATGTAAGATAACTAAACAAGTATTAGAAATCACCCCAGAATTGGCCCTACTAAACATCTTCCAAGACAATAATGCCCATTTATACCACAAAGAACTCATAACCCACCTGCTTTCAGCAGCCAGAAACATCATAACCAGACATTGGAGAGACCTGTCAGGAGTAAGCATGGACCAATGGTACCAAATAGTATGTGAAACAGCCTTACTAGAAAAATTAACCAAAAAACTGAAACTGACATGGGGACAAATAGAAGAAGATGCCTTCACCCCGGTATGGCTCCCCTTTATCACATACACAGCCCAACAAGACAATGACAAAAATCCACCAACAACATACAAATCAATATGGATAATCTGATCTAAAACACCCACCCACTCCACTCACACATGAAAACAAAGATCAGCACAGCCGATCACAAACAGACAACCACACCCTAGGCCAACCCCAACCTCTCTCACCACCAAAGAAACACAAGTGAATAGCAGAAAACCTGCACAAGCAACACTGACACAAAACCCCACATATATTAAGTAAAATAGAAAAATCGTCACCCGACCCCACCCTCACTCACCTTTTCCCCCTCCACCTCTTTCCCCCTTTTCTTCCTAATGTTTCAACAAATGAAAGTGATCTGTAAAAAATGTTACTTGGGGAAAAAAGAGAGAGAGACATTGCACATACTTTTGTAAACCAAGAAAATATTTAATAAATAATAATAATAACAAAACAACAACAACAACAACTGTATGGGGCTCCTATAGTGGCTGCCCTGCACCATACATTTAAAGCACACGGCTTCCCCAAAGAATCCTGTGAACTGGAGTTTACCTGTCACAGACCTTAACAAGCTAAGCCTTAAATATATCATATGAATGCAGCCAACATTTTAAAATGCATTTCTAGTAAAAATATATATGTTAGGGTTGGATTTCTCTTAGTGGCAGCATATATGGTTATAGCCACATTCTGGAAGGTCATAAAAGGTGTGATCTTAAACAGTTGGTATAAAAGAGTATGGCGTATTGCCCCTATGGAAAAGTTGCTGCACATATTGGGACTGGCAAGAGGAACAAGTTATTGTCATTGCTCTCTAATGGATGGTTAGGTGAAACAATGAATGCCACTTATAAGATAAGTTGAATATTGCTGACTTTGGCTTTTGATACCCATCCAAGAAAGCACTCCTATTGACTTGAATTTCCATTGATCTCAAAGGGACTTATGCCCTTGACACTAGAAAATAGGGACACCAGTTTCATATTAATGCTGCACACATGCTTAGGAGCAACTCCACTAAACTCAGCTTGATTCACTTACAGCAAACATGCATAAGATGATGTTTTTGATATGGCATGTTGGTGATATGGCATGTTAACAAAAGTTTTGTAACAAGCATATTTACCAGAAAATACATACTATTGCTCTTCGTGGGATTTGTTCTCCTATAAAATTGTTTTAAGATTGGGCTGCTGGCCTTCAGATCAATAGCAAATAGTTAGGGACCTAAACAAATCACCAGCATCCATGATGTTCAAAGTTATTTGGGGTAAAGCCATGACACATAAAACACTTTCAAACATTACAAAAATGTGGAGCATAGGGAAAGCTGATAGCTAAAACTCACTTAATTTTTATTTGAGCTCCAAGAAGAAGAAGAAGAAGAAGAAGAAGAAGAAGAAGAAGAAGAAGAAGAAGAGTTTGGATTTGATATCCCGCCTTTCACTCCCCTTCAGGGGTCTCAAAGCGGCCAACATTCTCCTTTCCCTTCCTCCCCCACAACAAACACTCTGTGAGGTGAGTGGGGCTGAGAGACTTCAAAGAAGTGTGACTGGCCCAAGGTCACCCAGCAGCTGCATGTGGAGGAGTGGAGACGCGAACCCGGTTCCTCAGATTACGAGACTACCACTCTTAACCACACCACCACACTGGCTCTCCAAAAGATACAGGGTACCATTGCAAGCAGAGTCACAGGCATTCAACTGATGTCAGCCCATAAATGATTTTGGCATTGACCTGGGATATGAGCAGACTTGTCCTTTCCCCCAAACATGCAATATTAGCCATTCTTCTTGGCTCTCTTCTTGCAAAAATAGCCCTTTGCTGCTGGAAATTAAATGGCTCAGCTGGCTGAAAAGCAAAACCAATATTGACATTTTGATGGAACAGATAGAAAATGAGCTGGTTTCAGAAGCTGTCAACAATTGGGAATAGGCTGTGCTGGGCAAAGCTCAGGGCACAGATGAGAAACTGAAGCTCTAATCCCACCTCTGCTACAGTAGCTTTGGGGAATGAATAGAACTAACTGTAATTTTTCAGTTTAACCACAACAAGAAGAGAGTGGCACACATTTTAATAAAGTGCCACGAAATACAGATAGGGATGAGGAATAAATTTGATTCAGTTTAAAGACAAATGTAACTAATTCAAAACAGTAGGACACAGCCAGCCTTTGAAATTCGCAGTTCTTTGAATATTGCAAGTAATGTGTACCAAAATGCATACACTGTGGTGCAGTGTGCATAAAAAGGTTCATATAGTTGTGACAATGACATTCAAAAATGCCTCATCTTCAGAACTCTGCTTTGCAAATGTGTGTATGTTAGGCAAAATTGCACAAAAGCTTTGCATGTTG